AATGTACTGTTTTAGTCTGTAAACTGAACTTCAGACCAGTAAGTATCCTGAATTTGTATGTGTTTATTACCTACTTTCAATTCAGTTTATTTATATAGTGCCAACTCACAAAACATCTCATCTCAAAGCATTCTACAATTCAACAAACCAGTTGATTGCATCAACTCATTGACTCTAAAGCAACCTTTCACAGCAAGCATGCTTGTAGCGACAGTGGAGAGGAAAAACTCCCTTTTAACAGCAAGAAACCTCCAGCGAAATCAGGCTCAGTGTGAGCGGCCATCTGCCGAGGCTGACTGGGGTTCAAGGAGACAGATGTAGACATAGAGAAGGAAGCAGCGATAAAAAAAAGCAACTCTACATGTCAGTAGTGGTACTGATTATCTTTGATATATGTAAAAATGTTCTTGTCTTTCATATTATATTACAAATCAAGCATTATCATAGAAATAATTTAATTCACCAATTCTATATCAGTTGAGTTTTGAAAATGAGCAACCCAGCCAACATTTAAAAACATAACAGCCACCTCACTCACACAAGCCACACCCACTGTGAACTAATCAGCCAGTGGGTTCTTATTGACAAAATCTGCACAAGTCCTTCCTTATGAAAGTAAATTCTTTCTGAGTTATTAAAGTTCTGCTTAATTAATATCTAAATAATTCATACTAGTTCACAGGATTGAGTGAAATGTATTCGAAAAGCAAGAACATTTTATTATTTTGTGTTTGGGCATTTGGTTCATGATGAGTGGGCTTGTGTAACTTATTTCTGTGTCTGTTGCTCTTTACAGTAGGTGCAAGTGTACAGCTCAATCTTGCCCAGAGCTGCCAGCTCTCCTGTGCTGCACCATGCATTTGGGTAGTTTTCTTTTGGTTTCTTCAGTATAGGAGTCAGAGCTGCAGAGGACCGCTTCTGACAAATACTTGGGAGGATGATTCTCCATGTTCCTCAAAAACATCTAATGCCAGCCGATAGATTTGACATTGACTCTTGGAGAGTTGTTAAAATATGCCAGAAACACTGAGTGAAGGTCAAGTTGCCTCATATTTAACCCTGTTTTGGTTGCAATGAACCTGATGACTGAGCATTTTTTTACAGGCATTTTGGAAAGAAAGTACCATCATTCTTGAATGACACAAAGAAGCTCCAAAAATGGGGCTAACAGCCATGATTTCTTCATCTTGTGTTGTTTGTAATGTTGCAGTCTATGCTGAAAGTACAGGACTGTACTGTACTTAACTGCATGCTAAGTTAAGAATACATTTGCTATTATTATATTGTATTAATGTCATTGATAAGAGCCTCCTACTTTTTTTTTGCTGAGAATAAGGTTATTTCTGTGGTAGAAAGAGGAGGAGAGGATTGCTTGGATGCTACGTAACGTTTAGATTAAATGGTTAAAACAAAAAAAAAGGTAATACTTTACTGATACGCAACCAGCAGACACGTATAGAATAACTGAATAACACTTTCAACTTCAAAAGCTTTCATCTTTTTAAATGCCATTGCAATGCAGATGCACATTTAAACGGTAAAAGGGCAAAACACATGCAAGGGGATTTCTCTGCAAGGGCAAAACTGAGCCCGACCCAGACAGTTAGTCAGTGTGTATGCTTTGTTGTTTTTTTTCTCCCTGCATACATGCACAGCTCTGTGTTTTGCATGTCCTGCAGCATAGTGGCAAAGGAGAGGACAGATGGCTGCCCAGGTCTCTACCCTTTGACCGGAATCCTGGGAGCAGCAGGGCATTCAAATGTCCTGTTAACCCTGATGTTTGGATTTGTGTGTGTGTTCATGTGATAGCCAGCTTCCCCCCTCTATTGCTCCTTTCTCTTCTCACCACAACGATTTCGGTTTCAGCTCTTTCATGCTTCTAATGTGATAGTGTGGTTTGCTGAGAGTCTTTAGTCAGAGTCCATTTAATCTCTGTCGTCTCTGACAGCTGAACTTGATTTTCTCTTAGTGATGGATGGATTGTCAGAATACGTTCATTTTCACGGGATCTCTGCTAATCAAATATAAACCAGATGGACATTTTCATAGCGTCACAAAGTCATTCACATGATCCCAGACCAATCACTCCATTCTATTCACAGCTATATAGATGTGTAATGAAAGCTCTTCCATTGCCTGTGCCTGCTGTGGTTATTTCTCAACATTAGCAGTTTTTTAGCATGTACCGAGTGTGACTTTAACAGTTACAATAAAAGGGATAGCTAATCTTTTTTCTTTTATTTATAGAGCTAAATAAACAGATAAAGCCTTTCAAACCAGTACTGAAGCTAAGGGTTTTTCTCAGTCATGATATTTGTAAGTGAGTCATTGACCTAAAAATCCCAACACAGGACAGCAACAACCCAAACTAATACATATGTAGAAAGATATATGAACAAATGAGTTAAAAATAATTGAAATGTATATGGAATAAGAACATGAGAAATTAGAGGCCGTAAGCTGAGAAGCAGAAAACTCTTTTAGTTCCTAGTGTAGAGAACGGTCCTACTTTTTTTTTGGTATTAAGTGTATGTTAATTTTGTTGTTTTATTGTATGTTTTATTGTATACAATTAAAGCCCTTTAAAAAAAATGACTTTTCCCAATGCAAAATAATGCTTACGACTAGTAAGAAGCAACCCAGTAAACCCCGTTATCCTGACAGTGAGGATTTTTATTGTGTTGCAAATTTATGAAAAAAAAAAAACTTCAGAAAGCATAATAAGGAGCCCAGAAGAGTTCAAAACTACAGTATTTGCGTGGCAGAATGGATAAATATCCCGCCTCAGCAATCCATAGTACTACTTTCTTCAGGAGATATTGTGGGGTTAATACCTAGAATGTTTTTTCTTCAAAGCAATTCACAAATCTTTGTAAGCGTGTTCAATACTTAATTCCCATATAGTAGAATTCAGCGTTTGCATCCAAATTTTTAATTTCTAAGTAATTTGGTTTGATTGCTTTGTATATCAGATTACTGACACCTGATTAAACTTTAGTTCAATGACTACATTAGAAAATCGGAGTTCTCCACAAAACAGAATTCAATTAGAATGTCAAAAGTTTCCATGGTACACATGCAATGTTAATCATTGTTTTCACAGATGGCTATTAAGCTGTTCATTGAGCAGAAGACTTTTCAGATCCCAGTAGTTTTTAAACTTATGACTAAAGCAGGAATGGGCAATTCTAGTTCCTGAGAGCCGGTATCCTGCAAACTCTATATATGTCGTAGGTCCAACATACCTGAATCGAATGGATAAATTACCTCAGTATACAGTCACTTTTTGCCAAAGTCAATGTGTTTTTGGACCAGGAACCAGAAATTGCAAGAAACACGACCTCTGGAACTCTCAGTGAGCATGATTAAATTGGCTTTATTGCTATTCCTAGATTCTCCTTCTGGCTTTAGAGTTAAATTAAGGCCCTTGTTATGGTTCCTGATACATAGCTGTCGACTTTTGCTTGATTTTTAAGTTCTACAGCCTTTAATTCCAGAGCCAGTAATTTTAGATAAGCTATTAAAAAAGCCAAGATCCGTCCAGCTCTTCCTGGACTTTTTTACCTTAAGGCCAGAACACACCGAATCCGATTTTGCGTCCGATCCGACAGAACATCATGTCGGATAAGGTCTTGGTCTTAAGTGCCCATTGAAAGTTAATGGGGATGATCATACCCGACACAACTTTTTGCAACAGGGCTTGCGTAGATCCGACTGAGATAGATCCCAGGTCAA